TGAAATTAGATCAAACTGAAGAGTTTCTGAACAGCAAAGTGTAAAGGCAACTTATGGAAAGGGAGAAAATATTTGCAAACGATACACCTAATAAAGGGTTAATAGACCTCAAGAGACATTTTCCCAAAGAAGACAAACAAATGGCCAAGTACAAAAAAATGTGCTGGATATCATTAATAATCAGTAAAATGCAAATCAAAATCTCAATTAGATATTACCTCACAACTTGTTATGACAACTATAACAAAAAGACAAGCGATAACAAATGCTGGCAAGATAGCAAACACTATTAGTGGGAATGTAAATTGGTACAGCCACTATAAAAAACAGTATGGCTCTGGCTGGCATGGCTCAGTGGTTGACCCTTGACCTATGAACCAGGAGGTCATGGTTGGATTCCTGGTCAGGACACATGTCGGGGTTGTAGGGCTCAATCCTCAGTGTAGGCATGCAGGAGGCAGCTGATCAATGATTATCTCTCATCATTGATGTTTCTATCTCTTTCTCCCTCTCCATTCCTCTCTGAAATCAAAGAAAATATATTTTTAAAAAACCCAGTATGGATGCTTTTAAAGTAATTAAAAATAGAACTACCATATGATCCAGCAATCCCACTTCTGGGTAAATATCCTAAGGAGACAAAATCACTATCTTGAAGAGATATTTATACTTCCATGTTAATTACAATGTTATTCACAATAGCAAGGAATGGAAGCAGTCCCAGTGTCCATCAATGGATGGGGTCATGGGTGAAAGTACTGGAATTATATTTGAAGGAGTTATCTCAGATGCATGCCCTTCAGAAAGCTGGTGGATACCACTGTCCAGAAGCTTCTCCTTCTGTTTCATGTTTGTCGTGGCAGACAGTTTGTTATCGTCAGTCTTCCCCTTTTTACTAATCTGGTTTGGGCAGTGTGTTCAGTTCCAGAGGATAAATCATGTTGGCCTCAGCCAGTCACAACAATCCCATTCCCCCTTGCAATGATTGGTCTAATCAGAGGGCATGGGATCAATTTCTGGCCAATGAGACAGGAGTGGAAGTCTAGGGAGCGGGGTTGAAAATATGTTTTTCCTTAGGAAAAGAAAGGGACATAAAAATAAAGTATTTTGTCCTCTTCCCTTTGTTTCTTGCTTTGCATACTGTGGTGTTACAGTGTGATGGGAGGAGCTGATGCAGCCATCTTGTAGCCAGGAAGTGAGAAGCCTGAGGGGGCGATGCCATCACAACGCTGAGGATGATGGAGAGTAAGGAGTGAAATGGCATGGGTTCTTCAAAAAAATCACTGGCCTGTTTAATCCATCCCGCACTGCCTGCCTTAGACATTCTTAAGTTAATAATAATTTCCTTATGGCTTAAACCACTGTAACTTGAAGCGGAAAACACTCCTGTCTTCATCCCTATGAAGACAGTTTGAACTGTTTTATCATTGACACTGATGCCTGAAAGCAGCCATGGCTGGCGAAGGCCAAAGTTCACCTGCCAGTGCCTGTATCAATCAGTTAGGGGTGAGGAGAATCTACACCAACTTCAGTTCAGGTTGACCTTGTAGGAGTCAATAGTAATTGACACTACATATCTGCTGAATAATTGAGTGAAAGAACAAAGGAAACAAGAAAAGTGAAAGGAGAAATAAAGGGACTTGAATTGTCCAGGCTTCACAATAGGATATATCATCACTGACGTCTATACCTTGTAACCTAGGAGTTTATTTAACCATTCAGTATCCATAGCATTTTACTATGTGCTGTGTGCTTGGAATGTAAGACTAAAACAGGATTCCTGTGTTCAGAGAACTCTCCTGCTAACCTGGATGACAGATATCCACATAGTTGATAATATAAGACAACCTGGTGAGCAAGTTTGTTCATTTATTCTTGTTTGAGTCCAGTCTGTGATGTTTATTGAAAGGCACCTTCAAGAATCTTACAGATGTAAAGGAGAGCAATTATTTTCTGATCCCCATATTTCTGCAGCTTTATAAAATAAGAACTTCCATTTTTGTGGAAATCTTCTGCCCTTCATTCCACTGCCTCAAACTTTACCCCTTATCACTTATGGGGTCAGAAACAACAGCTTATTTAATAGCTGAGAGAGGGGGAAAAGGACTGAACATGTGTGTGTGTGTGATTTATCCCTCCTTGGGGACTCTAAGATCTTCCCGCCACGGAACATTTATTACCTGTCATCTGCTTCTTGTGCATGTGGTCAGTAACATTTCTAGGGCAGGATTTCTCTGTCCTACAACTGAGAGAGTAAGCCAGTCTAATGCATGGGGACCTGCAGGAAGTCTTGGACCCAAGGCCAACGCTCCAATCCAGCTTTACCTGTCACAAAGGCGTTTGTTTTGATCCTTCTCTGATACCCCTGTCTATTTCTCAGTTGGTTCAGAATTTTTGGGGACATAGAACACTGTAATCTAATAAACAGAATACAGTTTGGGGAGGGAAAGGGTCGAAGTCTTCCTGGGAGAGTAAAAGGGTACTAAACTAAGGAGAAGATACTTGAGCTGAAATGAGGAGTGGACATTTTCTACACAGCTGGAGGTAGGCAGAGGGACACGGCTAGACGTGCCAGAAGCAGTGACATGGTGGAAGGGAGTAAGGCACAAAAGCGTGAAAGAGCAAGCTGTGTTCTGAAAACCACAAGCAGTTTGGCATCCAGTGGGAGGAACACAGTTGCCAAAACGAGGCTCAACAGAAAGCTCCTGAAATTTAGATATTCTCTTATTGCTAGTGGAAAAGAGGAAAAAAATCCTTTTCCTTCTACGTTCTCAGCTTGGACACACGTAACAAAAAACAAAACAGCCAGATTAAAAAATGAAAACAGAAGTTTATTAACATGTATTATCTCATTTACTGGGTTGGGCAAAAGTAGGTTTACAGTTGTGAGTACCGGTATATGAAAGTTTATTCTTGTATTATTTATTAATTATTGTATTGTTTTTCCATAGGAACAATTGTAAACCTATTTTTGCCCCATCCCATGTACATGGGAGAAACTCAGGGAAAGAGTAACTCAAATAGATGACTTAGAACTCTGGCTCATATAACATCTTCAACAAAGAATAACACATCTATAGAGAAATGATAAGACAAAGTAAAGCAGTTTTAGGCTTCCAAGGGAGGCAAACTGTAGGAAGGTAAATATATGGGGGAAGGGGAACTAATAGAGTAACGTTTGTTTGCAGATTCCTCTGGTTCTGATAAGAGAGCCATCTCCAGTGAAGGAGCATTGATATCCTGCTTTATGCAGAAAAAGAGGAGAGTAGAGAGAGCTTTCCCTGCATTTGTTGCTTCTTGATTGCCTTCAGCTCAAAATAATTTTTATGTTAAAGAGGCGTATTTGGAGTAGCATAATTTGGTTCCCTTCAACAGTAGCCCATGTTTGTGGCTGAGTAGTTTTCATAGCCTTCTTTCTGCCAGTAAAACTTGGGGGATCAAAAGATCTCTTATCATGTTGTGCTGTCTCTGTGGCCCTCAGTTCCAGCTGATATAATCTTTCAGAAATCTCAAGGCTTTTGGCATGTTGATGTAAAATTCACTCTATTAGACAAAAGCTACACCCACAAAACCTCATGAGAGAAGCCCTTTTCTGCCATGGCTTCTTTGTGTGGTTGCTGTGGGACAAGACCCTTAAGACTCATTGGTATCCTTTTGTTTAGCAGAGTTCTTCAAGACACATAGGTAAAATGTGTAAAAGGCCTTTTGTAAGTTGCTGACCTGTACTTGGACCATGTTTTTTGAGCCTGACTAGAGATTGTGGAGAAAAAGGAGGACAGTGTGCTATCACCTCAAAAGAGTGTTTCTAGGAGTTTTCAGCAGTGTCTAAACTGAAGGAAGGATCCCGCTAACAACACGGAGGTCATCACTAATCTTAGTGATTTACTGTTTTTGCTGCAGGAGAAATGGTTTAAAAGGTAAGTGGCAAGTGATAAAGTAGAAACATTGTGAGGAAAATAATTAAAACTGAGGGACTATTTTGGGATGGAGCTGTGAGAAGTGAGAGGTTAGTTGATAGCGTAAGGATTCTAAGAAGGTGGGAGGGAAGGTGAGTACTACCAGTAAAGGCAGGGGTTCTCAACCTGTGGGTCGCGACCCCTTTGGCGGTGGAACGACCCTTTCACAGGGGTCGCCTAAGTCCATCCTGCATATCAGATATTTACATTACGATTCATAACAGTAGCAACATTACAGTTATTAAGTAGCAACAGAAATAATTTTATGGTTGGGTCACAACATGAGGAACTGTATTTAAAGGGCCAGAAGGTTGAGAACCACTGAGTAAAGGGCTTGTTTTAAATGCAAGGTCCAGTCCTCTGATGTAACAGGAAGGAAGAAAGCGAGTGTGACCGTTGCAGACCTACAGAGATTTGCAAGTTTGGTATGAAGAGGTTGGCTTCTATTTTCTCTGTAACAAGAGGAGAGGTTAACTGTTTCTCCGAATATTAGTAATAACGGTGCTTAGTAAGCGACTTGTTTTATATGTGGATGGATGCCTTAGCTCCTCAAGTTTCACAGGGAGCTAAATGACATATCCACAGCGGTGAGAACAGAAAGAATAGGTGCTTAATAAATACTCCATTTATTTTGATTCTAATGGTTGTAATGATGATGTTAAGTAATGATGCCCTTAGGTCAAAGAAAAGCATGTGCTCTAATCGGGCCCCTATTACAGGAACCTGACTAGTGTGAGGGATGAGAATCACAGAAGGCGAATGGCAGCCCAAGGGAGGGAACCCCACCAGCTCCCTCCTTTCTGTCCGGGGCCCTAAGAGTTAAGAACAACGAGCTGGCTGCCGCCGTTTCCTAGAGAGGCCCCGGAAACGCCGCTGGCAGCCGGGCCACTTCTCGTTCCCATCTAGCGGTTTGGGTTTAGGACTCTGGGTTGGTGGGGTCAAAAGGAGAGGGGCTCCCTCCTCCCGGACTGCTGGGCCTGCGGGGGGTGCAGGGCGCCTGGTGTGTAGCCCCCAGAACAGTGAGTTCCCTCTTGGGGCGGGGGGAGGGAGGGAGCAGAGGGCTGCGGGCAGGAGTGGAAGCTGCTCTGCGGGTCCCAGAGGGAGTCACCTAAGGGTCTGGTCAGCTGGTGACGCTCGGGTCTCCTGGAACCTCACGTGGCAGCGCACTCCAGCGAATAGTCCCTGCCAGGGGTTCGTAATTAGCCCAGCTTCGGTCAGTGCTGGTCAGGCCCCATCCTAAGGCCCCTTTGGGCGCTGACAGTGAAGACTGGCCTGCTCTATAGAGTGACACCGTAAGGACAGCCTTTTAGTACCGGCTATGGCTTGGAGTGTGCTGCCCTTTGAGGGAGCCAGTGCAGGGGAGGACCCCTCTGCTGTCAAAAGTGATACTGTCTTAGCAGGGAACATGCTGGCACGGGTTGTTACCCAGGCTCTCGCTTCCTTTGTAAGGACTTTGATAGAAATATGTAGTAACTTAGAAAGCAAAACATTGAGACTGGTTCCACCTTTTAACACACCCCTAATTGCTCAGGATGCTTTGGGAATGCCAGCCCCGTTTGGTATAAGGTCTAGGGATGTAAATCCGTTCTCATCCAGTCAATGTATTCTCAATAAAGGCCTTCTTTGAGGGTCATTTGAAGTTTGGGGTTATGCCCAGCTTTCTGCTTCCTGCTCTAGTTTACTGTAATAGCCGAGTGTGTGAAAGTCATAGTCCAAACAGACTTGGGACTGAATCCTGCTCTCCCGCTTTCGGATTGTGTGGCCTTGGGAAAGTTTCTTGATGTCTTTTTGAACTCATCTATAAAATGTTGGTAACCGTTTATATGCCTCAGAGGGTTATTGAGAGAATTAAATGAGAAATAGTATGTGCAAGTTACTCAGTTTACTTCAGTAGTAGTCAACTTTTTTCTTGTTTTTCATATGCACACCTTTGTATATCTTTCTTTTAGGCTTTCATTTTTCCCAAGTTATGTATTCTTTCTATCTTAACTCGGGTGCCAAGTTCATACATAACTGCCTTCCAGTGATAGATCACATTTTTTCGGTCCCTTAAAGTAGGTCAGGGATTGTATTTGCCTGAAGAAGATAAAGTTGAGGCTGAAATGGATACTGGGATTATGATAGACTTAGAGGCAAGAAAGAGATCTCGCATTCGCTTTCTTTTATAGTTAGTGGTTATTGTTTAAAATTATTATCCGAGTCCTGCTTTGCACTAATTTCTTGTTACTGGTTATGGAAATCCTAACTTTCTTTTGAAATTGACTTGAAAGGTTTCATCCTTTTAAGGACCAAGTTATTCTTTCTAAACTAAACAGGGTGCTTTCTCTTTAGTGGCTTCTTTACCTGCATGTTGATTCCTTGAAGTCTTATGATTGGTTCCTTTCCCCTGCCCCAATAAAAAAAAACTTTGTTTTTTCCATTAAGTGTTTCTAAGCTCTGAGTGGACAATTAGTATTGTATTCATTCTATTTTTGAAGCCTGATCTTCATATTTTAATGTGAAAATTTAATTTTTTAAATTATTTCCTTGGAAAAGATATATTGGGTTAACTCTTAATTCTAAACACTTGCATATGGGAAAGGATTTTTCTAAAAGGACTTCTAAAGATCATATTTCTTATTTTCAGGATTATTAGCAGACCATTCTATGCCTACAACTGTTATGTTACGATGACTGGGAAGGAAGAAGAATACATTTTAACAAATGCCTCCCAACGTGACCCGTTTCCTTCCGCAGGATTTCTGACCGCTAGCGTGGCTGTGACCATTGTGATGGAGCAAGAGAAAAGCTTGTTGGTCTCAGATTCTAAATGCTTCACTGAAAGGAAGAGTTCAAAAAGCTCTTTTACAGGTGAGGGATGAAGAAGATGATCTGAATGCTTTGGAAATCCATTATAAGATGCGCTATAGGGTGTGTAGAGAGAACAGGGCATTAGAATGAGACAGACTTTAATTGTGTTAACTCTTACAGCCTTAATTTTTTCTTTAAGAAAAAGAAATGTGATAATATTTGTCTTACATATCTACACTAATAAAAGAGAAACATGGTAATTGGCGTACGACCGCTACCCTTCCCATTGGCTAATCCCCCTGTCACTCACAGAGTAGGGCTGAGATATGCAAATTAACTGGCAGCCAAGATGGCAGCCGGCAGCCAGGCAGCTGATGCGAACATGGAGGCTTGCTTGCTTCAGTGACGGAGAACTCCAACGTTCCCCGCCTGACTTGCCGGCCTCTCAGCTGCAACTCTAAGCAACTATGTTGCGAATAAAGAAGCTAAAAAAAACCCAGAAACCTGCTTTACTCAGTGGAGCTTCAGCCAGCTGGACTGCAACACTGTATCAAATACAGACGGTAAAAAAGGCCAGAAACCTGTTTTCAGCAGCCGAGGCCTCAGAGCTAAAGCTGGCCCAGAATAAAAAAAAAAGAAAGAAAAAAAGGAGCGGTTGGGAGCTTCAGTGCCAGCCTAAAAACAGCCCTCAGCCCCTCACCCAGACTGTCCAGGCACCCCAGTGGGGACCCCCACCCTGAAGGGTGTGTGACCAGCTGCAAACAGCCATCATCCCCTCACCCAGGCTGGCCAGGCACCCCAGTGGGGACCCCCACCCTGATCCAGGACACCCTTTAGGGCAAACCAGTCAGCCCCACCCATGCACCAGGCCTCTACCCTATATAGTAAAAGGGGAATATGCCTCCCAGCACCGGGATCAGCGTGACAGGGGGCAGGGCCCAAACCCCCTGATCGCCCTGCAGCTCTGTGTGTGACAGGGGGCGGGGCCCAACCCCCCCCCCCCCCGCCCCCCATGGGCCCTGCTCTGTGTGTGATGGGGTAGAGCCATAACCTCCCCACTGGCCCTGCCCTGAGTATGAGAGTGGCGGCGCCCCAACCACCTGATCGGCCCTGCTCTGTGGGTGTTAGAGGGTGGCGCCCCAACCCCCGCCCCCCCATGGGCCCTGCCCTGTGTGTGATGGGGTAGAGCCATAACCTCCCCATTGGCCCTGCCCTGAGTGTGACAGTGGCGGCACCCCAACCCCCTGATTGGCCCTGCTCTGTGGGTGATAGAGGGCGGTGCCCCAACCCCCTGATCTGCCCTGCCCTGAGTGTGACAGGGGGCGGTGCCCCAACTCCCCTATCGGTCCTACTCTGTGAGTGACAGGGGGGAGCTCCTCAACCTCCTGATCGGCCCTGCTCTGTGCATGACAGGGGGGAGCTCCCCAACCCCCTGATTGACCCTGCTCTGTCCATGACAGGGTATGGAGCCCCAACCCCCCTGATAGGCCCTGCTCTGTGCGTGACAGGGGGTGGCGCTGCAACCTCCCCATCGACCCTGCCTTGAGTGTGACAGGGGGCAGTGCCCCAACCCCCCAATCGGCCCTACTCTGAGCGTGACTGAGGCTGGCATCGCAACCTCCCAATCTGCCCTGCTCTGTGCATGACAGGGGAAGGCGCCCCAACTCCCCAATCGGCCCTGCTCTGAGCCCGACCAGGGGCTGCACCTAAGGATTGGGCCTGCCCTTTGCCACCGGGAGCAGGCCTAAGCCAGCAGGTCATTATCTCCCGCGGGGTCCCAGACTGCAAGAGGGCACAGGCCGGTCTGAGGGACCCCCCCTTCCCCCGAGTGCACAAATTTTTGTGCACCGGGCCTCTAGTGTGTGTATATATATATATATATATATATATATATATATACGCACACACACACATATATATATGGATTAATGAGATATTATATGCAAAGCTACTGTTCTTAGTAAATACATGCATACCTTAGAGAAACTACAGTTTCAGTTCTAGATCACAATAAAGCAAGCATCTCAATAAAGTAAGTCATAATCTGGTGCAGGTATTTGCTGTCAATTTGTAAAAAATGCAACATCTGTGAAATATAGTAAAGCTAAACACAATAAAATGAGGTATGCCTGTAGTGGCTATCATAGTTATTTCTGTATACACTCAGACATTGTCTTGTTTTCACCTCAGATGGTGTCCTATTCAGTTTCTCCCCTACTCAGATCCCCTTTTTTCTTTTAGATCTTTAAGAATAAAACTAGTGAATTAATTTTAATGAATACATCCCTTGGCAATTGCTGACAACTGTTCAAATACTTGATTAGTGTTGTTACTAAGTACAAAAATTTCATTTGCTTCTGATGTTAAGTAAAACTAACTTAAAAAAAAATTATTTACAAGGTTTTACTTTGTTATTTCCTCTTTCCACTGCAATTCAGAATTCCCCTGTCAGAGATTAGGAACTATATTTAGAATATTTATTTATTTTTGCAGGACATGAAAGTAAGAATAATTTAGAAACTGTTCAACACAATAACCGTAAGGCAGATAAACTTAAAGAGAGAGCCTCAAAATGGTCTAAAAAAGATGGCCTACAAAATTGTAAGCATGAGGATACAAAAGAAATACCACTGACAGGGTCCCAAGGAGATGAAACTTGGCATGATGGTTTCTATGAGAATAATGGCAAGTCAGAGAATCAGGAAAATTCTACAGGAAAAGAGGAAGAAAAACCCAATGATGGGGGTTGGGGCCCAGGAGAACATGCCAGTGCCTCTGTCCAGCAGAATTCATCCTTCAGAGACAAACCCTACAAATGTTCTGAATGTTGGAAAAGCTTCAATAACAGTTCTCATTTGCGTGCTCACCAACGGACCCACTCAGGAGAAAAACCTTATAAATGTTCTGAGTGTGGGAAATGCTTCAGTAACAGCTCTCACCTGATTCAACATCTGAGAACACACACAGGAGAGAAGCCCTATCAGTGTGGGGAATGTGGGAAAAGCTTCAGCAATACCTCCCATCTTATTATCCATGAGAGGACACACACAGGAGAGAAACCCTATAAATGTCCTGAGTGTGGGAAGAGTTTCAGCAGCAGCTCTCACCTGATTCAGCATCACAGATTACACACTGGTGAAAAACCATATGAATGTCCTGTTTGTGGGAAATGCTTCAGCCACAGTTACGTCCTAATAGAACATCAGAGGACTCACACTGGAGAAAAACCTTACAAATGCCCTGACTGTGGGAAGGGTTTTAGTCAGAGTTCCAGCCTGATTCGCCACCAGCGGACACACACAGGTGAGAAACCCTACAAATGTATTGAGTGTGGAAAAAGCTTTGGTTGTAATTCTACTCTAATAAAGCATCAGAGAATACATACAGGAGAAAAACCCTACCGGTGTACAGAATGTGGGAAGAATTTCAGTAGAAGTTCAAACCTCATAGCACACCAGAAAACACACACAGGAGAAAAACCCTATGAAAGTTCAGATTGTGAAGAAAGTTTGAGTCAGAACTGCAGTGTGATAGAAGAATGTAGGACCCAGCCAGGAGAGAAACCATATAAATGTTGTGAATGTGGAAAGAGTTTTGGCCTCAGCTCCCATCTCATCAGACATCAGAGGACACATACAGGAGAAAAACCTTACAGATGTTCTGAGTGCTGGAAAACTTTTAGTCAGAGTTCCACCCTGGTGATTCACCAAAGGACACACACAGGAGAGAAACCTTATAAATGTCCTGATTGCAGTGAGTGCTTTAGTCAAAGTTTTAACCTTATCAGGCACCGGAGGACCCACATGGGAGAAAAACCTTACAAATGTACTGACTGTGAGAAATGCTTTAGCAGAAGTGCCTATCTCAGTCAGCATCGGAAAATTCACATACAAAAGTCTTTTGAGTCTCCTGAGGTTGAAGATTTTCCTCCTGAATGGACTTGGAAAGACTGTTCAGGGGAACTGGCCCTCATCTCATCATTTTCAGTCCCAAATTCATCTTCCTCTTAAGTCCCAAAGTCCACTTTTCTTTTTGGGACATTATTATTAAGGTGTTCTCTGATCACTGCACTACAAAGTGAACCCGTCGGCCAGGCGGGAACCTGAGGAGGGGCAGTGAAGGATTAAAGCAGACAAGAGAATACACTTGGGACCAGGTGGATCACTGCCTGGATGAGGAAACAGTGACACAGCCTGTAAGCCGAAGCTTTATTTTATAGTCAGATCACACAAAGCAAAACAAAGGCAGTGGTCAACATGTTTACAATAATCTATTTTGTTACTCAAGCCTTGTTTTGGCAGCAATTGATACATATCCCACAGCCCATTAACTAGACCTAGGAACAAGGGAGGACTATAAGGTCAAGCTTAATTGTGCTAGGAGGGCTCTGCCCTCCAACCTGGGACTTGTATGAGGCTCTGCCACAGGTCAGTCTGAGGCTTGACCCTATAGCCGCTCCCTACACAGTTTCTTTGGTTTGTTTGCCAAAACATCTAGAAAAGGTGAACCTCTTGGGAGGATGGGAAGATCTAGATCACTAACTAGGTCATTGAATCTGCCCAGTGAGAGATACTGCCATGGATGGAGAAAAAGAAGAAATTTGTTTTGATCTAAGGTAAAACAGGAAGAGCTTCAAAAGAAAACTTAAAGTGTGCCCTGGCCAGTTTGGCTCAGTGGATAGAGCGTTGGTCTGCAGACTGAAGGGTCCCAGGTTCAAATCTGGCCAAGGGTACATGCCTGGGTTGTAGGCTTGATCCCCAGTAGGGGGTGTGCAGGAGGCAGCCGATCAATGACTCTCTCATCATTGATATTTCTCTCTCTCTCTCTCCCTCTCCCTTCCTCTCTGAAATCAATTAAAAATATATTTAAAAAAAGAAAGAAAAAAAACCTAAAGTGTAACCCAGAGAGTAAACAAAATGACACCCAAGAGCCTGCAGCTGAGATACCGTTGAATTGCCTTATTTTCTCTTTCCTGATTGGGTGGCAATAAATCATTACTGGTCTCAGGGATTTATCCAGAGAAAGATTTTTTTGAACAAATAATCTGATTTCCTGGCTGTTCTTTGGGTCTTAAGGAAGAAAAGATTCATTTTTAAAAAATGCATTTTCAATTGCTGAACATTAACTTTTGTAGTATTAGAACTGCACTAATAGAATAGCCACTAGCCACCTGTCTATTTAAATTTATATAATTAAGATGAAATTTAAAATCCTGTTCCTTAGTCACACTGGCCAGTTGGATCATCTTGAACAGGGGTCCTCAAACTATGGCCCGTGGGCCACATGCAAATACAAATACTGTATTTGTTCCCGTTTTGTTTTTTTACTTCAAAATAAGATATGTGCAGTGTGCATAGGAATTTGTTCATAGTTTTTTTTAAAACTATAGTCCGGCCCTCCAACGGTCTGAGTGACAGTGAACTGGCCCCGTTTAAAAAGTTTGAGGACCCCTGATCTTGAAGGTAGCCTCAGACACCTGGGTGTCCTTTGGACCCACTAAAATTGCACAATCCTTTTGTTATTGTTTATCCTGTGAACATGAAGTTCACGACTAAGAGTGAGTAGGCTGATAATGTAGCACATCATTATGGTAATATGGCAAGCATTTGGGTAACTGCTGCCTTTTCTGTTGGAAATTACCCTTCCTGTTACTCCCCTCTCTCTTTCATTTCGCGTTTGTTTTCTACCTCTCTTTGACCCTAACCTCCTCTGCCTTGTTCAACTGTATTCTAACCCAAAATTAGTGTGTGTTTTTTCTATCATTTGTTTTGTTTCCCTTCCTTCCCTCTCCCACCTTCCCCTCCCAATGAACTAGGAATCAAGTCAAGGCTAAGGATAGTCCAAATGCTTGGTTATAAAAGATACAGGATGCTTGGCAATCATTAACATCATGGGCATGTGGCCACTTACAAGCAGAGGTAGCTTGTGGGTGCTAAGATAGATTGCTGGTCTAACATTGCTTGACTGGTAAAAGCAACAAATATCCTAGGATTTGACACAGTGTGGGATGAAGTAGATGCTTTAGTTGAAAAAGGGTCAGGATTAATTTTGAGCCATGGATAAACGGTCAGATTTAAAAAAGTATTAGTTGATTAGACTGACAAATACAGGTGGAAGATTTTCTCTTAAAATAGCTTACTTTCTGATCATTAAAGTCAGAGTTGCTAAAATATAAAGTCAGAGTTGGTAAAGAAGTATAAAACATATAAAAGTATGAACACCAAAATAAAAATCACCTGAAATCATTTTCCTCTGAGATCACTTACCATGAAAGTTCTGGGATCTTTACCAATAACCACTTTTCTAATATATTATTGTGTGTTACACACACACACACACACACACACAAATTGTCATATATTATTGTCTTTTTTCCTAATTTCACATCATTTGTCAATTTACTTGTTTTAAATTATTATGCGGTTTTTCATGGTTTCATAATTTTGCACTGAATGATGTACCATAACCATTTGTTTGATGTTGGATGTTTATATTGTTTCTAGTTGTTTGCTATTAAAAATAACACTACGGTAAACAGGGTTTATTTGTCTTTTGGTGGTTGTTTTGTTTTGGTATGGTGGTTGTGATTGCTTTTGCTTTTTTGCTTTGTGTTGTTACACAAATCTTAGTGTACATCTCTATTTCCATAGAGTGAATTCCTAACAATGAGATTATTGAGTCAAAGGGCATAAAGTTTTAAAGGCATATTACTTAATTACTTTCCTGTGCTGAGCCAGCTCCGCCAAGGGTTCACAAGCCTGAGTGAGGGTGGTGAAGGATGAAGAAATGACAAAGAGAATAAGCTGGGTCTAGGGACGGATCTTCCTGTGCCTGCCTGAGGCCACAGAGAGAGATCCAGAGGCAAGCTGAGCCTTTATTTTATAGCCAGAGGTAAAGAAGGTAGTGGTCACCATAGTTAGTGTTCTTGTGAGTTTCACGTGTTTTGGTGGCACTTGCTGCATCTCCCTCAGCCCATTAGCTTCCCAGATAAGCTCTAGGGAGCATCATAAGGTCAAGCCTAATTATGCTAAGAGGACTGTGCCCTCTAAGCTGGGACTTGTTTGTCGCTTTGCCAACAGGTCAGTCCGAGGCTTAACCCCATAGCCGCGCCCTACACTTTCCAGAAATGTTTATCAATTTAAATGACTCCAGTGAAATAATTTCGTTAAATACCTTTTGGAGGGGGTGGGAGAGAAAAACATGCAATTCAAGGTCAATAACTTTAAATGCTTGAAACCTCTTTTAAGGCAGCTTGTTTGGATAATCTTTCCCCAGCCTATTCCTTCCCCTCTCTTGGGTTAGGGTCAGCTGTGTGAGACTTTGGTTGAATCATTTTAAGAATTACTTGGATATTTTCTTACGCAGCCCAGGGCACAATTCCAGTAAATGTCAGCAGAAGCTGCTCTAAGAACTAGGGAAGTGATCTGAGGCCAAAGCCCAGAAGTACTAAGAGGAAGAACAGTTGAGGAAAGCTGTTTTGGGGGTCATGTGATGCCCAGGAAAGTGTTTTGACACATGATTATTTTAGTAGCAGAGAAAACATAGTATTTGGGGTGAAAATGGTAACTGGTGCCATACTTCCTTAAATTCAGCAGTGTTGGGCAGGATGGCAAGGAAGACGGATGCCCCCCCCCCCCCCCCCCGCCCCCATGGTGACTGACTTTTGATTTGTCCAAGGTCACAGCTGGTTCCTGGCAGCCAGAATTTAGGTCTCTTGATTCTAGTCACCCAGTCTTCCTACTACACTACTGTCATTCATCATTCATTCATTCGTTAACTACATTCTTACGGAGGATAAATTAAGTTCAAAGCATTGTGGTAGATGCTGTGGTGCTGTGGATTATTCTGATTTATCAGACACAGATCCTTCCCTCAAGGAACATAGGGACTAGTGGGATGATAAGACTTAACCCTAGATGTACTGTCAGAGCTTGGAACAATAAGGTATGAATAGACTATGATGTGACTTGGTGAGGGTGAGTGGAGACTTGGAAAAGGTGACAATTCAGCTGTGCTCCGAACGGCAGAAAGGATTTGTACATGAGTCATAGGGTTTAAAGCTGGTCATCCACCGTTAAATAATGGGTGAGCAAAGGCACTTACCTTAGGCCTCACTAAATTCTATGAAAGCCCTAGCCAGTTTGGCTCAGTGGATAGAGTGTCGGCCTGCGGACTGAAAGGTCCCAGGTTCGATTCTGGTCAAGGGCACATGCCTGGGTTGCAGGTCAATCCCCAGTGAGGGGTGTGCAGGAGGCAGCCGATCAATGATTCTCTGTCATCATTGATGTTTCTCTCTTTCTCTCCCTCTTCCTTCCTCTCTGAAATCAATAAAATATATTTAAAAATTTTTAAAAATTAAAAAAAAATAAATTCTAGGGAAGTTTCATCATTTTATAACAGGGGCCATCTTTCACCCTCTTGCACACTTTTGTTGTTCTCATTAGCACGCTTGTCCTGAACAAATTCAAGTTTAACTTCCCCAGACCTTACCCGAGTCCCTCCTGGCCAGTGAAGGACTGTCTCCTGTTCGTTTCCATGGTTCCTAGTCCACCCACTCTCTCAGGGCACTTATGACACACCTCTCTTTGTGTTACTTCTTTGACCCTGGTGTGTATTGGTTATGATTTCAAATGAACTTGTTTATGACTTAAGTGAAGTTGCTTTGACCCATGGGTGAATTTTGTTTAAATCAGGGGTGGGGAAAGTTCGGCCCGCCCTCGGACCATATAAGACCCGTGAAATCATTTAGTCTGGTCCTGCCCAAGGCATTGGGGGTGAGTTAATTAAAAGTTTGACCAAATATAGCAGGCTAATTTTTAAGTTGACAATTTCATATGGCCTGCACATGATGTTATAAATACCCAAATGGTGCTTGGTAGGAAACAGGTTTCCCACTTCGGGTTTAAATTAAGGGAGCTGTGCCGGGATGTCACTGACACCTGCTGAGGGGCATCACCGGGACCTTATCTATAAGAACCTGTGGAGGAAAAACGATCATGTGATACTGTTTTCTTGTGGTTTAAGACAACATAAGTTTACTAACTTACAGTTCTAGAAGGTTAGAAGTCCAAAATGGGCTAAAGTCAACAGAGCTGCTTTCGTCTGGAGACTCTCTGGGACCCTTTTCAGGCCTGAAGAGGCCTCGTGCGTTCCTTGGCTCCTGGCCCTCTTCCTGCAACTTCAAAGCCAGCATTGTTAGGCCGAATTCTTCTCATGGGGCCATCCCTCCGGTCCTCGCCTTCTGAGTCCTTCCTTCACTTGTGAGGACCCTCGTGACTACCGGGGCCACCCAGATACTCCAAATGGGACATTACCGGGAACTTATGAGGCTTTACTGAGTGTGTTTGGCTTGGACAAAGCTGCCCTCCGCTGCCCATCTAAACAGCTCTGAGAGATCTTGAGCCACTGGGTCCGGGCTGTGGTCAGGCCGCCCTTGGCAGGCAGGGACGGTGGCCATACACTGTGCAGCAGCATCAGGAAGAGAAGGGACATGTTCCTGCCGTGGGGAGGCCCTTCTCTGTAGGCAGTGCTGTGTACCAGGTACAGGTCCCTGCAATACCCTTAGGAGCCCCCCCCCCCCCCCACACACACTGCACTGGCCCCCGGCAAGCGAGGGACCTACGCTGGCAGCTGGCGGGAAGCACGGACTCCACCGAAAACAAACCTGGAGAAAGTTATTACGTCACTGAAGCTGGACTCTCGTCCCCCCTTTGCCTGGTGCGGTAGTGAAATCTGCCATTGGTTTGTAA